AACAGAAATTAAAGGACAAGCAAATAAGGGAATGCTTGTTACATGTGTATGTATATAATTATCTTCAATATGAACAGTGAATAGGTGCTGCACATACACAAAAAGAGGTGTAAATCGTCAATAATGTCAGAAAAAGTTTGGAAATTAAAACAGCATGCTTTCAGCTATTGATGATTTTGTTTTAAAACTTTTAGGTAACATGGTGCCAGTATGTCAACATGAATCAAAAATCTTAAATATGATCCAACCTCCTGATCCTCTGTATTTGTCTTATGGTAATGATTTGAGGATGAAGGTGTGCCTGACCCAGCCATGGTATTTACAATCACCTCCTGTGCATGTAAAAGCGAAGACATCGAATAAAGAAGACTGAAGAAAAACCGATGCATTTGAATCATGGCTGGCAAAGTACCAGGGACTGCCAAAAGAACAACAAATCTGTCTTGGAAGAAGACAGCCAGAATGGTCCTTAGAGACAAGTATGTTTCACGTGTTTTGGACATGTCATCAGGAGAGACCAATCCCCGAAAAAGGACATCATGCTTGGCAAATTGGAGGGGCAATGAAATAGAGGAACATCCTTGACAAGATGGGTGGACACCTGAGGCTGTAACAATGGGCTCAAACAACAATTTTGAGGATAGTGTAGGATTATTGAGCATGTTTTGCTCAGTTGAACACAGTTGCTCTGAGTCAGAACCAACTTGATGGCATCTCACAACAGCAACAACAATTTGAGGCATACACGAAAGCGTTTGTAGGATACTCACTGATATCTCCAACAGGAAATCTCCCTTTCTCAGAGGAGTTTGTGTGTGTGTGTGTGTGTGCGCGCGCGCCAGAATACACAAGAGCCTTTTTAAAAAATTGCCTTGTGTTAAAATTGCTCTCCTCTCTCCCTCTTTCTCTTACATACACACACCACACACACAAATGTTGGTGTTAGTGAGATATGTACGCTAAAAGCATACACACCGGGGAGGAGATGAGCCAGTCAGGGTGCGATGTAACAACGATGAGAAATACAACTTTCCTCTAGTTCCTAAATGTTTCCTCCCCGC